ATTTGCAGGATTATTACATTCAAAGCTGCAGATTTGTATTACGTTTGTGGTTTATTACGTTTGTGGGCTGTTATTACGTTTGCAGGTGTAACAGGGTTCTAGAATAATTAAAAAGAGGTCTTTTAAAACATTTGATGAGGAGAAAGGCAAAGTTGTCAAATATCTTGTGGCTTGAAGATCCTGAAGCTGCATTTAAGGTTTTTGATGACACATTAACAAGTGTCATAGATCATCATACACCTGTGAAAAAATCAACAGTGAGAACTATTAATTCACCATGGTTGGACAGAGAAATTAAAAAACATATGATTGAAAGAGATCAGGCAAAACAGATTGCCTTATCATCTGGTATTAAATCAGATTGGCAAGTTTATTGTAAATGAAGGAATTCTGTTACAAAAATAAATAGGAGAAAGAAAAAAAAAATATTATGGCAACATAGCTCAGGAAATTAAACAGGATAGTAAAAGATTATGGAGCATGTTAAATCATTTAGTTAAGGGCAATACCAAGTCTTCACCATCTTACTTAGAAACTGGGGGGGAGTTTTTAACTAAACCTAGGATATTGCTAATCATTTGAATAATTATTTTATAAATAAAATTGATAAGCTGAAAAATACTGTACAGCATAACAACACTGATCTCGCAGTTACATTAATAAATGAAATTATGGAGGGTAGAGAATGTAATTTTGATTTCAAGAATGTTACGGTATCAAAAGTTGAGTTAATGTTAATGACTTGCAAGAATAAGTCACCTGGGGTTCATTTTCTTGATGGAAGGCTATTAAAACCTGTTGTTGCTATTGTGGCCCCAGTGATTACACATATAATTAATCTATGTCTGACTAAAAATATATGGCCACAGGGATGGAAAATTGCAAAAGTTATACCAATACCAAAAAACAAAAAGTTGCAGTTTTCTGAGTCAAATAGTCGACCTAGAAGTTTATTGTCAATTCTAAGTAAAATAATGGAAAGAGTTGTGTATGAGCAAATTCAGTCATATTTTTCTTATAATAACTTATTTACAGATTTTCAGCATGCTTATAGGGAAAAATACTCCACGGCAACAGCTTTGACCCAAATGTTTGACGATTGGTGTAATGATCTCAAGCAAAAGAAAATGATCGGAGCTGTTTTTCTTGATTTTTCTGCAGCTTTCGATATTCTTGATCATGAATTATTATTAGGAAAATTGAAATATTATGGGTTCTCGTCCTCAGCTTTATTAACAATTAAACGTTATCTGAGTGAAAGATGGCAAATGTTTTTTTTTTTAATGGAAGTGAGTCAGATTTAAAACTGGTCAAACATGGAGTACCTCAAGGAAGTTGCCTTGGACCTCTTTTATATTCTATTTTCACCAATGATTTCCCCTTGGCATTAAATACAGCTCACATGCTGATGATACAACAATTTATTTAGCTGGAAGAACTATTGATGAATTAAATGAAAATTTAAGTGAAGAAATGAAGTTGGTTTCAGAGTGGGTTAGCTGTAATAAACTTTTTTGAATGTACAAAAAACAACCAGTATGGTTATTGGATCAAAAAATTCGTTGAGTTCAAATCCAAAGCTTGATGTTACAATTAATAATCAATCCATCAAACAAGTGAATGAAGTTAAATTACTAGGGATTATCATAGATAACACATTATCATGGAATATACATATTAAGAGAATAATAACTAAAACTGGAAATATTCTTTCTATGATTAGGGGATGCTCTAAATATTTAACAACACAAACCACTAAACTGGTAATCCAAGCTTTGGTTTTGTCACACATGGATTATTGTACAGTTGTTTGGTCCAATACCTCACTAACCAACATCAGAAAACTACAGCTTATACAAAATAAAGCAGCAGTATTTATTCGAAATGTTATCACAACAAAGATGCCAAATATTTTTTGTAGAAAATTATCTTTTAGTTCAGAAACACATAATTACTCAACTCGTCATGCTAGGGGAG